TCCAAGCAAAATGAAGTCTTTGACAACTTCAATCTCTTTTCTATTTGTCATGAGGTTCAGTTGTGAGGATCTATGTTTTCTTTACATTGAAGGGCAATCCATACTTAAGGCCATTTCTCTTTGGAATGATCTAGATTTCTTTCAATCGGTTGACCATGTAGTTGTCTTCCAAATTTCTTTGTATAGAAGAGTGAACATCTCCTGTGCTGCATCCCTGTGTTGAAAGATTTCAGTTTGTATTCTGTCAATTCCTGGAGACTTGTTCTCGACAATGTCTTCAGGGCAGCTTGAACTTCCTTCAGTATCATCAGTTCTTGATCAAATGCAACCTCTTGAGATAGTTGAACATTGACTATTTTTGGTACAGTGCATGATACTTAGACTCTGTGTATTCCTTCGATCTTCTTTTGATGCTTTCTGCATCATTCAGTATCCTTCAGTATTACAACCCAAGGCTTGAATGTTTTCTTCAGTTCTTTCAACTCGAGAAATGCTGAGCATGTTCTCCAGTTTTGATTTTCTACATGGTCTTTTCACATTTCATTATAAGACTTTACTTTGTCAAACTGCCCTTTGAAATTTTCTATTCAGCTCTTTTATGTCCTCATGCCTTCCATTTGCTTTAGCTACTCTATGCTAAGAGCAAGTTTCAGAGTCTCTTCGAACACCGATTTTGGTATTTTCTGTCTTTCTTTCTTCTCTTTTGATTGACCTTTTGCTTTCTTCCTTACGATGTTCTTGAGGGCATGCAATAATGATAATATTTATTATTTAGCACATATAAGAAATTATTCTGCAAGACTGTCAGCTCTGCTATACTTGCTTTTTGAAATGTTAATTTTGGTATATTGCAGAACAATTTGAACATAACAAGAATTTCATGTTTACTTATACACAATTCTATCTGTGAGAAACCCTTGGTAAACTTATGAAACTGCCCCAACTAACTTCAGCTATGAAAAAAAAATACACAGAAATTGCAAATGTGCACACACTTGAAACATTCACAGTGTGTATGTTTGGCGCCTTACCCATCTATCTACACCTGGTATTACAAATTTCTGTCCACTTAAATAACCTTTCTTCCACCACTTAAGAATCACTCATAAGCTGCATTCATTCCAACGCCTAGTTCCACAAGTAAACTTCCGGTCTTTTTCAAGGTAAAATGCCATATTTATTGTAGTATTTATCCATTTCTTACGCATCAGTGTGTAAAAACTGGGATATCATTTTCATAAGCTTCCTGTTTTCTCAGGTTTTGATTGTGGTGACTGGAAGTCATTCCTCCCATAAACTTTTCTCCGAGAGTGATTTGACATAGCACAGTGATAGTTAGCAATGTGTTTTGCCTTATATCAGAATTTGCTGTCAGTGTTAATGAAATGTAAGAGACAAACTTCCCTGTTGGATACCCCGATAAGTTCTTCAACAGTATTCCTGAACAGGAAGACTCTTATCCAGCACAAAGTTTCTCCAATACGTGGCCCAAATAAGGTTTATTTTCAAAAAGAAAAAAAGAAACCAAAAAAAAAAAAAAAAGTGCTTAACAAGCTTCTTCTACCACTTAATTTTTGTAGAGGAAGATAAAAAAAGGTAATGGTGTTTCTGAACATTACAGCTCTGCCACACCTCAAAATGTCTTGAATGTACAGTTTGGAGGAATTTTCCCCTGAAAGATTATCCTACAAAGTTACTTTAGAACCTCAAACCTGACTGGCTCCGATATAAGTATGTTCTATGAATTAGACCTTTCCATCTGAAAACTTAATTTACTTTCAGGAGACTTTAGCACTATGTCCAGATATCCACATTTGCATAATCACTGCTCCCTTCTTCTCCCTTGGGTCTCTCTCTTGGGCACAGAAATGTATGGCTGCCAAATACATTTGGAAGTCAGTGCATGTGACTCTTAACCCCCTGGAATTGGTGTTCTAGAGCTCCTGACACTAAACACTAATGTATTTTTCATTAGTATGTAATGTTGGGAAATCCCATTTCACGGAGCCCAAGGATTAAATTACTTCATTTGGAGGGGAACAAGTGCATTCCCAATATTTTTTCTGAGGTTGATAAAAAGAATGAAGCTGAGACCATTTGAATTTCATAAGGGCTTAAAGTCTGGATGTATTCCTCTCAGAGCAACAGTTCAATATTGTGAAAGCTTTTAAAGACAATATTAACTAGTAAGGAAACCTCCACATAGTTGAAATGTGGAAACAAACATACATAGTAATTTGGATATATATATATAATACAGTTTTCCACTAATGGAAATTCCTAAACACTTAATTGTACACAGATCTAGAGGCAGTCATTCACACAGAACCAAGGGATACTAAATCGTTCAAAATCAGCAAAGGTTCTATTCTTTCACTATACTTATTCAATCTGTATGCTGAACAAATAATCCAAGAAGCTGGTTTATATGAAGAAGAACTGGCATCAGGATTGGAGGAAGACTCATTGACAACCTGTAATATGCAGATGAACCAACCTTGCTTTGTGGAAGCAAAGATAACTTAAAATACTTACTGATGAAGATCAAAGATTACAGCCTTCAGTATAAATCACATGCCAATGTAAAGAATGAAAAATCTCACAACTGCACCAATAAATATCATCATGGAAAATGGAGAAAAGGTTGAAGCTGTCAAAGACTTCATTTTGCTTGGATCCACAATCAGCGCTCATAGAAGCAGCAATCAAGAAACCATTAGGCAAATTGCTACAAAAGACCTCTTTAAAGTGTTCAAGAGCACCAAGTTGTACTTGACCCAAGTCTGGATATTTTCAATAGCCTCATATGCATATGAAAGTAGGACAATGAATAAGGAAGATTGTAGAAGAACTGATGCAATTGAATTAGGGTGTTGGAGAGGAATATTGAAAATACTATGGAATTCCAGACAAGCAAACAAATCTGTCTTGGAAGTTTTATCAACCTCAGGAAAAATATTGGGAATTCACTTGTTCGCCTCCAAAGGGAAGATGGTGAGACTTTGGCTCATGTACTTTGGTAATATTATCAGGAGGTACCAGACCCTGGAAAAGGACATGATAGTCAGTAAAATAGAGAGGGTCATTGAAAAGGAGGAAGACCCCCCCCCATGAGATGAATTGACACAGTGACAGCAACAATGGCCTCAAACATAACAATAATTGGGAAGATGACACAGTACTGGGCAGCGTTTTGTTCTGTTGTTCATAGGGTCACTCTGAGTTGAATCCACTCAATGGCACGTAAAAACAACATGCTTCTTTAAGTCCCAAGGATGGAAAGAAAGCATGCTTCCAGTTATCACTATGAGTATGAACTTAAAGGTTTAAAAAAAGTTAATGAGATAATAAGTACTTGTAATTTTTTTAGTGTCGGATCTGGCTTCAAAAGGTTCATGAAAAATGAAATTAAATTATATGGGGTTTGTAGTGGACCTGGAATAATGGATGTGATTTAGAAAATTCACGAAACATTTAAATTCCTTTTAAATAAAAAAAGGATAGCTGACTATCCAAAGGAATCCTTTCTATCAAATGTATGATCACCATTTTCTTCCCTATTTATCTTTTGTAGAATTCAGGTTTTCATATATATATATATATATATATATACATATACATGTCAGTCTCTTGAAATTTCAGATTTTAAGTAGAAAGATTGAAATAAGTGATCCTGCCCCTCCCCCCAGCTCCCCCCAGTGATCAACCACTGCAAAGTGGGTCTCAGCATAAACCAGCTGAGCCCTTTGCTAGGCATCAAAAGCCTCTGGCATTTTCCAGTCATTTGGGAGGTGGGGCAAAGCCATGCTGTCTACAAAATTTATCCAGAACGTGATAGCATTACAAGAAATCACTCAACAGCTAGTATGTTTCCCTTGTGGAAGTAAGGTGGCTATCAGCTACAATACCGATTTCTTTTCAAAGAGGTTTAATTGGGTATTTCTCATGGGCCAAATTGTAACTCACTGCTTTTACGTGTGCCTGCAAGGAAAAAAAGTGGGAAATACCAAACAAGAGCAGCAACAGAAATCTGAGGATCTCTGTCTCAGGCTGCTTCCTCTGTTAATTGGTGTTAAGTGCCTTTGAGTCAGTTCCAACTCATAGTGACCCTCATACAGGGTTTCTGGAACTTAAATCGGAAAGCCTCATCTTTCTCCCATGGAGTGGCTGGTGGGCTGGAACCACTGACCTTGTGGTTTGCAGTTCAGTGCATATCCTACAGATCCACCACATATCTGTTATCCTTTGCAAACAGGTCAAGTAAGGGTGTCCCTGCTCCCTAAACTGCTTCTAATAGAACAAAGCTCTGAGGAAAAGTGTGTGAAGGGGGCATGGGGAAATGGCTGTTCTTTGCATGGCCATGGAAATAGGCATCTTAACCTGAAAACTCCTTTTAACTTACCTCTTCTAAGTAGCACCTTGAGTTGGGAGGCTGGCAGAGATGAATTACAGGTAGTTGAGTTATACTTTCATGAACTGTGTTTCTGAAGTACGGATTTGCTCCTATGTAGGCAGGCTAGCATCCTTTCCTGAGGTAAACCAGAAGGTGGCCTTATGTTTTCCTGTGGAATGCAGAATGATTTTTATTGCAACAAATGTGTGCCTTTCTCTGGTATTTTCTGAAGTGAGATTTTTCGCAACTGATGGAAATCAGTTCCCTTCGATTCTGTAACTTAGTGTCTTGTTGATGATTTATTTGTTCAGTAGCAGAAACTATGACAAATTGTGTGAGGCGGCTTCATTTACTTTTTAGCTGCTCTAGCCGTGAAAAATTTACATGTAAATGCAACTGTGAATGTTTTACATTTCTTAAGCCTGTGGCACGTGTTTTTGTAAATTAAGTGACAGTTTTAGAGATAGACAGAACTTAAAACTCTAACCCCTCCTCCGTGACAGGTTATATTATGCTGAAATCCTAGTAAGTCTGACATGCTGTGTTTTCCTGACTGCCAAGCAGGAGAGTCAATCTCTATTTTGTGTTTTTCTTCTCTTCTCTTTAGACATGCAGAGCAGCCCACACAACCAGTTCACCTTCAGACCCCTCCCACCGCCACCGCCGCCTCCACATGCCTGCACCTGTGCCAGGAAGCCACCCCCTACAGCAGATTCTCTTCAGAGAAGATCAATGACAACCCGAAGCCAGCCCAGCCCAGCTGCCCCTGCTCCCCCAACCAGTACACAGGATTCTGTTCATCTGCATAACAGCTGGGTCTTGAATAGCAACATACCATTGGAGACCAGGTATTTGAGCTATTATGGATCCCTCTAAACTTAACCATTGGCTTGGGCTGATTCCACAGTATGCAAAAGCTCTTTTGACCGTAGACATCTACAGAGACATGCAAGTTGCACGCAGGTACATACCAGACATGTGGACACACACACACACACCTAGATCCAGGCACACCTACAAGCACACAGCAAAGCAGATGTACCGGAAAGGCTAGAGCCATAGATTCATGGATACTCTGCTGTCAGACACCCACAAAAACATGAAACAAAACAATTATCTCAGCTGTCATTGCAGTCTCAAAGTGAAAAGCAATTGCCCCCCTTCCCCTGTTCCTGCAGTAAAGCAAGAAAAACCGGGGATACTTGGAAGAACAGTGATTGTTTTTATTTATTATAAGATGCTTTGAAAAATTAAATTGCCTTCAACTTTTAAAAGGAAGGATTGTTTCATGAATTGGAAGTATATATGTAATTTTGAAAATTGACTCTGCCTTTAGAATGAGTTTGGTCTTTTTGAGCCAATGTGTTTACCTCAATTTTTCTTTCACTTCATGTATTTAGACTTCCAGCATTCGCTCTTCAAATCTTTGTCATGTAATTTAAGGACAGCTCCTCTACAGCTCTTGTTCTCTTGATCATAATAGCTTTTAGCACTAGATGTGATTAACAGAAATTATTCATTTCTTGTCACTCTTTCTTAAATCAAACATTACAATTTGCCATTAATATAGAAAAACATTAACTAATAAAAAAATAGTGTTACTACATTTTGTTATCCTTTAAATTCAAAGCCTCCTCTTGTCTTCTATATGCTTTTGTTTTTTGAGATCTACCACTAAAGGCTTCCTAAACTCATTTGCATATAAACAATGGGCATAATATACCATTTGATAAACAATGTCTTGTGTCAGCTCTGATCAGCTTCTATTTTGATAACTGGAAATTGGGACTGAAAAGTGAGGACTAATAAACTCACGTTATAAGACTGGTTATTTTTTTGTTTCCTCAGCAGCATATTAAATTAAATGCCAGACATAGCATCAGAGAACATGTCACCATCAACAAACTGAAAGTACTATGGTCCAAGTCCAGGAATCTCTGTATCATCGATCACTTGCCAGATTAAATAGCTTCTGAAACTGATATTTCTGAGGTATCCCAACAGAAAAAATAGCAGTCAGGACCTATTACTAGAAGTGTATTAGTGCTAGAGTTTGTGTATTATTCGTTTTTTAAAAAACGTGAAAGCAGGAAGGTAAGGGAAATGAGAGAAGCAAAGAGCAACATATCTCTTCTTTATGGACTTTTCACAAACCGTGCTGATTTATTCAGCCTTCTTTAATTCACTTGTAGAGAGCTAAGGAAACTCCGTGTCTGGGTGGGGTATGGTTAGCTAACAATCCTAACACACACACTCCATTTCTCTAAGAAGCCAAATAACAGGAAATCTGGAAGAAGGGTGGGGAATGGGCTTAGACAAATGGAGAGAGAAAACTATTCTTATTTGAAATGTACATCTAGGCATGTTTGTACAAACTGCACCCACGGACCTTCTGTATCGAGACAAGGAATGTATTAATTGGTCTCAGTTTCATAAGATGCAGAGAAGAGCATAAGTTTTCATATGAGACTGAGCACAGAGTACCTTTTTAGTACAATTGAAAATATATTCAGCATCACACAGATAAATTAAACAACAACAACAACACAAAACCTAGAAGCCCTAACAGACTGATCAACTAGGATTTTCTAAATATATCCTTAAAAATGGTCACTGCACATGTCACTAAATAAAAGGTAACTGTGGATACCTTGGTACTTAACTCTTGAGTTCTATAAACATAAGCACTCTGTAAAGCCTTGATAGTTGGTTGAGATCAAGCTAGTATAACAGAAAGGACTTCACATACTGTATGTTGTCATTGTTAAATGCCGCCTAGTAGGCTCTGACTCATTAGCAACCCAGTGTAGAGTTACCGAACCGCTGAGCTTGCTGTTAAAACCAAACTTGTGGTTTAGTACTTATCCTACAGCACCACACCAGGACTCCCATATACTATATGTTGTTGTTGTTAAGTGCTGGCGAGTTGGTTCTGATGCACAGTGACCCTGTATAGGGTTTCCAAGGAGAGGCTGGTGAACTTGAACAGCTGACCTTGCAGTTTAACCTACCTTATGGTTGAGTATCTATCCTACAGTGCCATACCAGGACTCCATATACTTAATGGTACTGATGGTGGTGGTTTGCCGTCGAGTTGGTTCTGGCTCATAGCGACCCTGCATAGGGTTTCCAAGGCTGTAAACCTTTATAGGAGCAGAAAGCCTCATCTTTCTCCTGTGGAACGGCTGGTAGTTTTGAACTGCTGACCTTGAGGTTAGCAACCCAACTCATAAACACTATGCTACCTGAGCTCCCATATACTGCATCGTGTCACACAAATTAAAAAATGATATTGTTCCTAGGGAATTGACTCTTTGCTAAGGCATTCCATTCCATCTCAAACAATTGGGAAGGCTGTCATTGAATCAAAATCTACTATAGTTTAGCTTCTGCCCATTGGTACTAGACACTTTTAGGGTCTCACAAAATAAAACAAAATTCCTCTCACAGCTAACTGGCCTTTAGATGTGGTTAGTTGCCACCTAGTCATGCACAATTCATGGCAACTCAAGGCACAACAGGATAAGACCCTTGTGATCTATAGGATTTTAATTGCCTGATTTTTGGAATACCTTTCTTTCTTAGTCTGGAAACTACTGAACCATGTTCAGCATCATAGCAACATGTGACAGATGGGTGGTGACTGTACATTAGGTACATTGGCTGGAATTTGAACCTGGGTATCACCCGTGAACCTGGGTATCATGACATGGCATTAGAGAATTCTACCATTGAACCACAAAAGCCCTTTTGACAGCCCTTAAGATATTTGTTGACAACTGTTTCTGCTTCTTTTCTTTGGGCTAAATATTTCTCCAGTTCCTTCACCTGTTTCTTGCATGATCTTATTTCAAATAGCCTTTTCTGGTGTCTTTGTTTAGAATACACTCCAGTTTGTTCAAACTGCCCTTTGAAGTACAATGTCCAAAACAACACTGGTCAATCCCAAAGGGAGGGAAGTAATACAACTCAGCAGTTGTCTGCATGTTGTTCCTCTCTATTTCTTTCTTTTATCTAGTAGTATATTCTTTTCATCAGTTCAACATCGCTTTTGACTGCCAACTACTTTCTACTTTCTCATAACTATGTCTCTAGATTTCACCACACCACATGATTCCAAGTATACCTCCTTGCAACTTTTACCACAGCCCTTCACCTTCATGACGTATTGCCTAATTCCCTTGTTATTTATTTCTTGGTTCCAAAAGTAAAAGATTTTAATTGCAGTTTACCCATTTTGTATCAGGACACTGTTTTAATTTCTTGGCAAACCTACAGATTGCCTGCAGTTGATCAGTTGTTCTCTCAGCCTGCTGAAGCTAGGAGGAGGAAAAGCTAATATAAACACACACACACACATACACAAATGTGTATGGCTGCCTGTTGTACAAGGGCTGGAAGCAGATTTCTTGTCCATTTCATTAGAATCTCAATGGACAGTCACCTTGATTGACTCAGTCAGGATTGTGTGCTATGACAAGCAATGAGTCACCTCCCTTGTCCTCACTATATATTTTTGTTAATGATATCTAGCCTATTATCAGCTTTTTTGTTGTTGTTGTTGCCACATGCCACAACAGATTTCACATTTAGAACACTGGTAAATGAAACCCCTACCTACATCTTTTTAAGCAAGTTTTGAGGCTAAGCCACATTTTATTTGTTCTATAATTATATAGCTGAAGCTTTCTTAATTGCTTGTTTGCATGGAGGAGGTACATGTAGAAATATGTTTATAGCCTTGATTTGGCCTAATTTGATTTTTGTCTTGTTAGCCTGTGGAGATGTCACAGAATTCTAATTCTGACATACAAAGTACTTGCTTTTGCCCTCATAATCGTTATCTGTAGGTTGGTTAGATATGCTTTCTACATTTTTATATGCCATTAGTAAAAGTATTACATAGAACAAGACGAAGGTCAGAGCTCTGTGGTATGCCACTAGAAACCTCCCTGCAATTTGACATTTATCCATCAGACAACATTCTTTTTCTAGCATACAACCTCCATTTCTCCTTGTTCACAGGCAAGACCTTGTCAAATGCCTTGCTGATATCCAGATAGTATATCTACATTTTTACTGATCTGCCAATCCAGTAACCATATCAGAAATAGAAATGAAATGAGATTTGCCCAACATGGCTTGTTCTTAAATAATTTATACTGTATTCTCATGGTTACTACTTTTTTTCCCCCTAAATGCTCACAAGTCATCCTTTTAATAACCTGTTCTAAAATTTTGCACTTGATCAACATGGTGATTCTTGGTCTAGTTTAAGGAGTCTATGCACTTCCTGTTCCTTTTGAAATTCAAAGCCATCATTAGCTGTGTTTTGGCATATTTCTCCTGCACCACAGTCCCTGAAACTTTATCAACTATGACCAGGCAATCAAATCTATGAAACCTCTTATCACTCTGGAATATTGTTTCAATTCATTTAGAGCAATGGAGTGATTTCTTATGAAATCTTATGTTGCCTATTTTAGGCTCAAATCTATGATTATCGATGTTTATTCTACTCTTTTAAGTCTATGATTATTTTTGTCACACGCAAATAAAGGTAGTAGTTGGGATGCTCTCTGACCTCAGTCATCCAGTAACATTGCATGAGTTACAGGTGTATTCTATTCTTGCTCTGAGGCTTATTTGTGGTCTGAACCTTCTTAGCATTATTTTATTGTTGTTAGGTGCTGTCATGTCAGTTCTGACCCATAGCAACCCTGTATAGGGTTTCCGAGGAGTGGCTGGTGAACTTGAACCACCAACCTTGTGGTTTAAATGACTGCAGTCCAGTGCATTAACCCATAGCATCACACAAAGACTCCTTTTTGTATTTCTTTATCATTGT